ACTCCAGTTATTCTGATTTTATACTCGGCTTCCCTTACACTTATTTGGGACCTAGTAGGCCTGTGATAAAAGTATTTTTATTCTATAATCTGAGGGTAGAAAATAACACCAGTAAAGCTTTCAGGTTTCCTCCTTTTAGCAGCAGCTGCCTCAATCCGAGGCATTGAGTGCCTTTCCTGCAAGGAAAGGGTTATCTCTCCTCTCAAATGTGAGAGCACACCCTGCTCTAGCCTGCAGGCACACAGATAATAATAACATGGAAGGATGGCAGCCTGTGCTCTGGAACGGTTTATGAGGAGGAAGTCCGCAATTACATATTTCTGGGCAAACATTAACCAAGGCTGAAGCCTAGCTTCGAAGAAAAACAACAGGCTGGAACCTCCAGTAATATAGCTGTTATGTGGACTGGAAAGAGCAGTCATGCATTCATGGAGCATTAGAAGCTAAGTAAGAATAGCACGACAACAAAGCAAAAGGCTTGATAATATTAGCACATCCTGGTGTGCGCCTGCAGAAAGCATCTCTGCCCCTGCCCAGCCCTCCAGTGATATTGGAAAGACCAAGGAGGTTTTTTTTTAAGTACTCTCTAGCTCTCTTAAAACAGACCTAAGCCAAAGTAATGGGACTATTGTTTGCTGTGCTCACAGCCTAATCCATTTATATCGGTGGTTTCAGAGCTTGCCACCACACACTGAAGTTTCCCCTTTAAAAAACAAGTTACTTTGGGCATCTCTCAATCACTGCGGTTACCACGCTAGAAACAATTGCCATTCTGTGCTGTGGTTTTGTAAAGCAGCAGTCTTATTTAGAGCTTTGTGTGCTAAACTCGGATATGCCCGTTCTATTATGGACTCTCTGTACCTAAAAATGGAATTGTTACACTAAAATTAAGGAGACAGCCAAATGATACATACTTCCTCTGCTTTGTTTTTTCTGACAGACCACAATTGCTGCAGAGAAGCTGTCCACTCATTACTGCAAGCTCTGGGGAAAAGGAGTGACAGAATTTAGACCTGTATGGGAGAGAAGCAGTAGTCTAAAGAGACACTTGCTGTGGCAAGCATAATATGTAGATTCCAAAGTTAAGCACTTTGGAAAAAGTCCAGAAGATGAAGATACATACATTACTGCTGCTGGGGAGAAGGAAGGGAATCTTAAATGTCTCCGTAGAGAATATTTACTTGGCTTTTCTTCCTTTCCTTTTTTTAAAGGGCGAGACAGCTGTGGCTGAGAAGCCTTACACTTGGAATAGGCTATTTGGTTCAGGTTTAATGGTAAAAGTTAATTTATTCTGTTGTTAGCTGGGCTAAAATAAAAAATTAGGATTACACTCCTAACATCCTTCACTGCCAGGGCAGGGACTTACCTACCCACTCCTGTTAGTGACCTGAAATCACTAACATCCAAAGCCCTTAAGGAAGCTAAAATGAACTTACTGGTTCGCTGGGGACAGTTGTTCCTGCCCCAGTGCTGTCCTCACAATTAGCAGTGATTAACAGTCCTGCTGCAACCAATACTCCACGGCGAGACTGGAATGGAAAATGCAGCCTTGGGGACTATGTGAGGTCTCTCACAACAACAAATCTTCAAAAAGCAGCTGATCCCGCTTTGCCTGGTTCTGATAATGGAAAACTGTGTTCTTTGGTTTTGCCTCTTCCCTTCTATTCTGTATCCAATGCTGCTCGCTTTTTAATGCCAAAGCAGATTTTAAAGGCACCCCCTCCACTCCCAAGTGTTTTAGCAGGTTAATGTTCTGGAATATTTTAACAAAACACAAACTATGACATTCAGTCACGGAGTGATTTCTCCCATGTTTATGCTTGCTTTTTGAAAATCCAGAATATTTCTAGATAAGTACCAGTAGATTATTTCAGGTACAACAGAAGAGATCTGGTTTTGGCATTTTGGAAAGGTCCCAGTTCGGAGGGATAGAAAGAACTGGCCTGTTCTGATGAGTATGGCTGGATTGTGTCATAATTAAGGAATAAAGAATTCTGACTCCTAAATAGGTATCCTTCAGTATATTTTAGTTTAACCTGAATAAAACCATGTTTGTGTTTAAAAAAGGAAGATGATTAATGGGATAATGGGAGGGAACAGAGTTTCACTTCTTGTAAAAGGAGTGCAAGCATAAACTTGACAAAAAACTGCTTTTTGAGTTTGTTTTGAGGATGGACAAATCACAGATAGCTTAAAGAGCTGCACAGGTCCTTGGTCTGTCTTTTCATTGTTCACTGCATCTTTCAAACTAAGGTTTCAGAGGCTGAACGTGGATTTGGGTTAATCTTTCAGTGATGCATCTATATAAGCTTTTATATATTGATATGGGAGTAAACTTGGTTCCTGCTTGTCCTCTAGTGATGTGTCCTCCTTTTGGGAAACTTAGCACATATCAGTGAACTAGCAAAGGATGAGAATCTAAGCAGAATATTCAAGTCAGATTTTTTTTTGCCTGTTTAAGAAGTTACTCATTGCATTGTCATTCATAATCGTCTTCCCGTGTGACAGGATGGGCTCGTCAGATCCCAGGGAGATAAAGCGGAATTTGTCAGCTCCTAGGGGGCCAAAGTAAGCATCCTTCTGACTAACAGCAGTCTTTGAGCACTGTGTCAGGAGTTATGGGAATTTGGAGTTACGTGCTGCTGTTGAGTGGCACAGCAAAATATGGTTGTGTAAGTGTGGTTAGTGGTTAATGATTTCTTTTTTTGTCTTTCCTTCACTGCCTTCTGTGCTCCTTGCTCTGTACACAAGAGCAGGAAGGAGGCTTTGGATGGAGCAATGCAGCCTGTTCATCTTTTCCTAAGTGAGTCAATATTGTTGCTATTTCTAGAAAGTCATCTTTGGTCTTCTCTAAAGGACCATCAAGAGATGAGAGACATCGTTGACATGGCCGTGTGGAAGGTGGGAGTTCTCTGGCACACCAGGAGCTCTGCCTGCTGGCTCTTCTGATTGCAAGCATAGCATATATTTTACATTCTCCCAGAGTCTCGCTTTGCCTCCCTGCTGCACTGCTTCAGAGCACGAGCCTCTGCAGCACTGGGTGTGAGAGAGAGAGTCTTGTGTAGGCAGCGCTGTGTTGACAAGTGCCTTGTACCATCTGCTTCCTTCCTCCACAAATCCATCAGCATCCATGCAGCAGCTTGTACTTGCTAAGAGCACTGCAAGGAGATGTGATTTGGATTTAATCATTAGCAAATGTCCCTTGACTGTTTCTCGGCTGCCCCATCTGAGTTTAATTCCAGGAGAAGGAAACTGATGTATTCCTGCTTTCAGGTGTAATTACTTCAAGACAGATTGACCGTTTAAGCACACACGACGCTGCTTAGCTTTAATTAGAGTAAATTGCCAGAATTTATATGACCGGTAGTTTTGGGGACTGTCAGATGCATGAAAGTATATTTTGCATATCATTTCCTGCTGAGGCTGAGACCAAGGTACTAGCTGAAAGGCTTGTAATTAGGACAAAAACACTTTGTAAATTTAACCCTATCTCCATTAGGAGCAGAGTGGAACTGGCTGGGGAAGAGGGTGGTGCTCCAGGGAGACAAAAACATTTGAAAGAGAACAAGAAGCAAGAAGTACCTGGAGACTGAGCAATAACAGAGACAAGTGTTATTGCCAAACTGGAGTCTTTGTGATTTGTAAGTGTGTAAGTAAGATTTATAAACCCCAAAGATAATTTTTTTCTGGAAGGCTGTTCTAGTATATTGTATGACCCCAGTGTTGATATAACTGAAACTGAAAAAGAGGTTTGGCTAGGTGTTCTGTCACAACAGTTCTTAGTGCACCAATTCAGAGTGCCCTGGAATAACGTCAGCCTTTGCTGGATCCGTTCCTGACTTGACCCTCAGCTGCAACAGCAGTGCAAGCAATGAGGTTTCAGTACATAAAGAGGCCTCAAATCATTGACTGAGCAGCAAGGGAAGCACTGTTGAGCCCCTTCTGTACTGAGCCACCTGGAGGGAAGGGCCTCTCATTGCCCTAGAGCTCTTTCCTGGTTGGAGAAACTCTTTCCCAAACCAGGAGCAGGGAGCTGCCTTGTGCCAAGCACCTGTTGGTAGATCTTTTCAGTGTAGTTTGTGTGCAGTTTGCAGTATGTCTCTGTCTGGCAGCTGGGGAACCTCCATTAAAAAAACTGTGGAAGGTGAAGGGTCTTCAGTTTTCCCAAAGAAGGAATAGCTGACCACAGGTTCAAATTCAATTAAATTATTGGCACAGGGTTTGCTAACTGATCTCTGCTTAATGATGGGAGCTCTTACTGATGGTATTCTGTAAGGATAGAGTTGGAAACAGCATGGGCTTTTTTTCTGGAATAGCCCAAATTGTATTAGTTTCTGTTTTATTGCTTGGCACATAAAAAGTGGCTGTATCACCTTGCTGATTTGAAGTTTGGTGAAGAGGCTTAGTGGAAGTGGTCTCAAACATCTGTAATGAGGTCAGGATGGAATAGCAATCCATTTGCCTGAGGATGCTGCAAATGTGGTGGGTCCAACATACTTCACTATTCTACTTTTTATTATCCGCATAGTTTGTCCTGGGCCTGAGACCTGTGAAGAAAGTGGAGGGAGAGCTGTGGTCTTTCACACTTGGGTACTGATATTTAAGTTGCTGAAGAGTTCAGCTCACAGTTCTGACAGCAGGAGTTTTTATTTCTGTGTCAGCTGCACCTGCCTAGGCACATCTTTGCTTTAATTTGGTGCAAGTGCACCACTCTCCAAACATGATATATCTGGGTCCAATAGTCCCCAGAAAACTGTTTTCTCTAGTCAAAGCACTGGAGTCTGTAGAGGTGGTTATCTTGTGTTAGTTATGATAGAGGCCAGTCTGGCTGCTCCTTGTTTCTTGCTGCTTTTGTGGGGTTTTTGCTTCTGTGACCGACTTCAAATACAGTCAACAAGACCTGCATTTGCTGATGAGTTAAGAGCTTGCTGTCAGCACCCATTCTCCCAGCACAGTATCAGTACTTCAGATTTCAGTCACCCTAATCTCTCTGCTTTCAGAAATGGAGTCCTGCATCCCTGAAAATGAGACGCAGCGGAAATTCTGTTGTTCTTTCTTCCCAAGATCATGCATTAACAGCATTCTGGCAGGACTAAGGTAAGAAAGTTTGAGGAAAATCCCTGAGTTCCTAGCTGTTCATCGTTCTCCTTTTCTTAATACAAATATTAGCAATTAATAATACAAATATATAGCAATTTCTGAAAAGAATATATACCAATTTCTGAAAAGAGGCAGTTTTTTTGAAGCCCATGAAGTTCCAGGCTTAAGCGAAATGACAAAAATAAGGGCTTAAGATGAATAACAAGTATATAGTGCAGCAGAGGAATGGTGATGATCGTAGTGTGATGTGCATTTGTTTCTAAGCCCAGCACAGATATTTTTTCCTGTCACTTATTTTTAGCAGGATGCTGGGGATGCAAAACAAATATGAAATGTTTAGGGCAGCAGTTTATGCTATGACTAATCTGTCCTCTGTGAAGCTAATAATCCCCCCTAAATTCTTCTACAGGGGAAGTCACAGATTTGTACTTTTCACTGCGTGGCACATCACAAACCAGAAACGTGGTTAATGGCTGCTAATAAGTCCCTGAATTCTCCTCTTCAGGGAGCCTTCCCTCGGGAGAGCCGTTATCGTTAATCTGGTTAAATCTGGATGTTTCCCCTTCTTTTCTTATATTGTTTGTTCTCCTTTGAGGTAGTTACAGTTCATTTATGTCTAGTGAAGGGACAAGTGGTGTTTGCCAGAGCCGGCTGCAGGGGCCGATGGGCGCCCGTTTGCATGGGCCTCGTTACAAAGGCAGACCACATCCTGGCCAGGACAAAGTGCTGTCTGATCCACAGCCGGCACACACCAGTGCCTGCCTGGAGCCCTGCCAGCCTGTGGGCAGCCTTTGTGAGGAGGCACTGTGTCAGTCTGCGTGGAAGTCGAAGGAAGGGATAAACCAACTAAACTAATCTTTCTTTCCATTCTCTGGCAGAGCTTCCACCAGTCAAAATATGCATGTGATTCACTACAGTATAAATTTTTTCCTGTGCTTTTTGTTTGCTGTCATCTAGGAGAAAAGTGGTGTGTCATTCACTCAGCTGCTTTCTTGGGAGCAGAACACAGAGAAAATTAAAATACCCTATCTTGGGCATCTTCTTGCAAAGATATTCTTGCTTCATGTGTAAGAGGTATCTTTGCAACCAACTGATAAATGCAACATATTCATCATCTTCCATCTAACAAGTTTTAAACCCCCCATGCAGCTCAGGTTCCAGGATTTAAACTTGCAGCTCTTGCTGAAATGGGTGGGTAAGCAGCTATGTCTAGCTCATATAACAGAAAACCTGAGCTTTTGGGGAAGAGGGCAAAGGTGCTATTGTAAGACAAATACAAATCATTATTTTCTGCCAGTTAAGGACAGCAAAAGGAATCCACAAAGTGGGTTTGGTGACAGAGTTGGGGATATTACCCCATACTTCCTTGATTTTGGGTGTGTTAAAAAAAATCAGAGGAACAACTGTTTCTTTTCATTTAAACAGCACAATAAAATATGAACTCTGTGGAATGCTATGCAACTTAAGGTGATTTTTAAAATGAGTGCAGCTGAATAGGTTTGTGTTTTTTGAGCCTTGCATCGTATTTCTCAGTTGAGAAAATTATCATGTGGCCACAGGGTTTTAATAAACCTTTTTGCAGCTAAAATAAAATGTTGAGGTTTGATGGGAAAGCAGATTGAAGTGGAACATTGGTTACATCAGTAAATGTGCCTTACTCTCAGTTGGCAGTGGTGAGTGTGAGTCAGTTTGTTTCAGCCTCTAAAAATACCATATGTCTTTATAATTCCAAACAAGTCCTTAAGATGGACAGAAGGAGTGTGCTTTTTTTTTTTCCTTAAATATGGCTGCTGAATATCTCTGAAAACACAGCAGCCCACATCCTGGTTGCCCACTGCTGTCCACCTCATCAAACAGAGTGACCTCACAAAGGTATGAAGCTTCAGTTTGCTGTGGGGATGCTGCTCCTCTGCCTCATGTTTGCAGGTGCTGGAGAACAAAGTCAGTCCTGGCATAAACAGGTGAATTTTCCATTCTAGCTGATGGGAGTTGTCCCCATCTGTGCCAATAATAAACTCTTTTAAAATGCACTTGTGGGTGAATTCCTCACAGATTTTGTTTATCCAATTTTGTGTAAACAAGTTGTCCTAAAAACTACAGTGTGAGCCCAGCTTTACCACATGATTCAGCACCAAACTATGTGAAATTAGCCCTTTTTCTTTGGATCTCATGGGTTTGACCTGAGAATAATTCTGAGGTTTTTAGTTTACTTGAATGTCAAAGTTGAGCAAAATTAACGATTTTGTTTAAACCAACAAAAGTGCTTGGAGAAAATACCTATTTCTTAGAATAATTGTTGAGATGCTCATTGGTTTCAGACCTTCCAATGTAGACAAATAGACTGAATGGGACACCTTTTCTCCACTGACTGTATTCCTGGTCAAACTCTGAAGGGAGGGAGGTTTGTGGTTTTTTTGGAACCAGCTATTCACTGTTGCGACTCAAATCCATTTGTCTTGCAATCTTGGACACCATTTGCTGTTATATATTCTGGTAGCCATCGTGTATGTATTTGTCTGCTTGACTGATCTTCTCTGAAGCTGTGAAACCTCTTTTACAGTAAGAAGTCTTTTTTGAGTCCTAGAAGGAAAAAACCCATCAAATCCCAAAACACACACCTTTTGGTCTAGAGCTGACTTCATTTCTTTCACACCTTTACAAAACACATTTTATATACTTTGTCCAAAATCTATTAATAACTTCAGCTTTATGTATTCCAGCTGTAGTATTTAATTTTTTGCCCTTAATTTTCTTTTCTGCTTTTATGACTGTAAGAGGATAACTGGAAATATTTGATACACCTGTTCAATTACACAGAGGGACAGTCAGAGGCATGACAGAGAGAGAATTCCCTATCCATCTGTAGAGAATTATGGAACTTTGCACCCACTTTTGTCAGTACAGCTATATTTGAGCACAAAACATTCAGACAAGAGCTGAACTTAAAGGAACCAAACTAAAGACAAGGGCTGTTTCTAGTGAGTAAGAACTGTAAAAATATCTGATAGAATTTAGAGTTCATTTACGATACTCCCCATGTTAAATACATTTCTTCCTAGAGTTGTTGAACTTCATTTTCTGTCCTGGATCATCCCAAATCATGCTGGCCATGTTTACTTTGAGATGTGTGGTATTGATAATCAGGTGCATAAAATTTGATTTTCCTCTCACAATGTAAACTTCCCGAACAGTCTCAGAGAAATTTGATAATGGCTTTACTTTTGCCCTAACCACAAACCTTTTTGTGGGTGTTCTGTTCGGCTTAGATAGAGGGTGTGGGAACATCTGGAAGAAAAAGTGCCAATAATATTTCTGTGAATATGTTGCAGCTCAATTATGCCATTTCCAGGCCTTCGGAATGCTCAGGTAGCACCACTGTTTTTCTGGTGGTGTAGCACCAGTAAGACCAGGCGCCATGGAGAGGGTTGTGGTGCTCTGTGCCAGCTCTTTCCTCGTCTCTAATTGCACACTATTTGTCTCATGCAACCTGCAACATTATTATTGCCTTTTTTTCATTGTTCTACTGAAATTTCAGTACTTGGCTATTGTCATGGGGTGTCAGATACTTATCAGATACTTGAGACCAGATAAGACTCATGAGGGGGTTACAGCACTGAAAATTAATCTCTTCCCCCCCAGTCCTGCAGTTTGGCCTTTTCAGGATGGTGTTGGCTTTTTTTGGTTGTGGTAGGGTTGGTTTTGTTTTGTTTTAATTAGTCAGGAACATGGATACAGGAAGTACTAAAGCTTTACTGGAGTTGTATGTGAGGGAACAAGCTATTGTCACTGTTCGTGGGAGGAATCTGCTCAATAAGCCAATACACAGGTCCCTGTGTCAGCTGTTAGTGCCCTCGTTAAAGCCCGTTACTATAGGCCTGTCTTTCCTCCTGCTCTTGTCACTTGAAAAGCTCTAAAGCCATCACTCTTTATTTATCTGGGTTTAGAGAGAATGGGAAGAGCTGTTTCAAATCCCCAGGAAACGAGCTGAACAAAGGGTGTGATTTGCTAGGTCAGTCCAATGGCTTATCTCCTCTCCTGGCCACTCCCAGCCTTTGGCCTTTATCAGTGCTTCAGGCAGCAGTGGGATCACTTGCCCAGGTATCTTCCCAGATGGGGGATGCAATGAGGGGGTGGGTGTTTCTTTGGCCAAAAAACCCTGTTGCTTTATACCTTGAGGCATGATTGGTTTTTTGTAGCATTGGCTTTGTTTATTTAGCAACAAATGTGGCTTGCACCCAAGGCTTTATTCCAAATGTTTGCCTTGATGTGCTGGATGCCTGACAGCCAACATGCAAAAGGAGCCCTGAAGATGTGACTTGGAAACAGAATTAACTTCCCTGCAGTAGTTGCCTGAAGGAAGTGACAGCTAACAGCACAGGATCTGCTTGGAGTACAGCTTATCCTTGGGAGCAGCAAGGAACATGGAACTTTTTTGTGATTTAGGTAGACCTAGTTCTCAGTGCTGGACACATAAGCTCTCATTTTGCCTTTTAAAAACAAATTTACATTATCTTCTCTGCATATTTCAGATTTGATTCATAGTGTGCCTTGTAACTGGCAGGCTCCTCAGCGCTTTCAGTGATAGAAACTAATATTTGGTGGTGAGATGTGCTTGCAGGCATAAGGATTTCTATTTTTAGAGAGTGTGAATATCTGCATGTAGAAGGCTTGTCCATGGCTTTTGGAGGCATGGTAGGGGATAGTATTCCTGGAGTACATGCTCTAGGAATCCTTTACAGTGCTTGGGTTGGCTCAGACAGGATTCCAGAGACTCCACTCCTTCCAGGAGTCTCTGGAGAGTATAAATCAGAGACAGCAAAAGCATCCTTACCAAGAATGAAGTGTGTGCACTGGTACAGAGCAAGGGTGAGATCATGACCTTTCCTTCTCTGTCCTTTTGCAGTTTTTGCAGGCTGCAAAAGCATTCTCTGCCTGTGTTCCAGGCGAGAGACTGAAGATGCTAGGCAATTTTCCATGGTTTTATTCTCAGGAGATTCTTGTTAAGTGTCTGTGAAGTGGTTTTTTGTTGATATATTTTTTTTTTTAGCAATGTATTTGTTCTGGGACCTGGTTGGTGCATTTCTGGTTTACACTCAAAGTTGCTCAATGCAGAATGAATAAAATAGAGACCTTCAAGAATCTGTCCTCCTGTGGGCTTCCCTTTAGAGATCTTCCAAGCTTTTTTTAAAAAGCGTCTTCAAGTTCCACCTTCTTCTTGTGTTAATTTTGAATCTGTTTAACGGGGATAGAGACTCTTTGTGATCAGAGGTTTCACCATGGAAAAAGCCTCCAGAGGGAAAGGTGCTTTGCTCAGCTGCTGCACACAGTAACAGACGATGATCCATTGAGCAGATGCTGAGCACAGATGGCAGAATTCCCTCCCGTCCAAGGGGTCTGCATGGTTGCTTTGCTTCACTTCAATGTCACTTAAAGGCTGTTTTCAGTGCTCAAGTAGGACTTAAGTACTGCAGTTCTTGCTGGCCCACCAGTGAGGAAGGGTTATGGATTAATATTTCAGTAGTGCCAAGAGACAGTAACTTTTGCTTTGATGGTTCTGGTGGGTTTATTTTTGTCTTATGAGATCTTTCTTGCTGTGATGAGAATTGATGGAACTTTGGCTTCAAAGTCATGGTAGCGTGTCTGAAGTGTTTCTATACTGCTTCATTTCTTTCCCTGTCTTCATTTAATGTGTCATCACAACAGGCTTTTAGTGAGGCACTAATTAAAGATTGCTATTTGATGACTTCAGTCACTGGTTTCTTCCTTGTCGATTTGGAGCTAAGAAATGAATTTCTCCATGTTATCCTCTGACGCATCTTGCAGAGGCACCTTTATAGTGCTTTAAATAGGAATGCTCCTGCAAACTCCTGCTTGCTTTAAGATACTTCAGAGGCTAAGTTCAGCCATCAGAAAACCCCCTTGAATCCTGAATTGTTTCCCAGCTTCTAATTGTCCCTACAAACCTGGTAGCACTGAGACGTCCAGCTTTATCCCACCTCACTGATTCCATCACGTAGCCTGTGTGGTGGAGTGGGGGGGGCAGTTCTGGGGAAATCACGAGCTGTGTTAAGCAGGCAGCCTTGCAAAAGCTCTTGGTTTGTAGTTTCCTCCCTTCAGTAGCAGTAAAATGCTGCTGCCTCACATACCAGGGATACCTGTCTATCCACTTAGAGCAACCAGATAGTGTGCTTTATGGGTACAAAGGTCAACTGGACAGGTTCATGAAAGAGAAATTAATTGAGGGTGACTAAATAGATAAAAAGGAGTCTGGCACAGGAAGTCTCTGATCCTCAAATGGTTGGCTGCTGGGAGACTGCCAGGAGGTATCGTGTGTGCTCACCCAGTTCTTCTGCTCCTTGTGAGAGATCTGCTCTCTACCACTACTGGGGGACAGGCTGTTGGGATGGGTGATTTCTTCTGAGACACTCTTAGGTTTTCATACATAACCTGTTTCTCCACAAGGGAAAATATTATAGCATGGGTACCTGTTTTAAATAGCTGGGACCTTGTTACTGGAAGGATTGAGATGTAAATCTGAAGGACCTGATCCTGACATGCACTATATTTTGGTAGCTTGCTCTCTCTAAAACCTAACAGTATTAAAAACTTCACCTGCCTTTGGGCCTCCTGGTGTGGTGAAATGATAAAATTTACATAGGTAAACTGGGAAAATGGCTAATTTGAGAATAAAAAATATTTGTCCTTAATTCTTACTGTGATTTCCAGGATCAGTACTAGCCTAACTAATCCAGGCCTAGCTCCTGGCTGGACAGATCCTGTAGGAAGCTGCTGGTGTCATCTTCCAAGAGTGCCATGGTTGTGTGTTGAACCCATAGATGCAGCCTGAAGCCGGGGAGCTTGTGTAGGTTTCCACAGGCTCACCAAGGCACTGCAGTGGCCCCAGGGCCCTGGTTAAATGTTAACAGCCTGCTGCCAGCAGTG